TGGCCGACCCGCCGATCGAGGACGACGACTTCGCCGCCGTTGTGGACATCTTCGAGCCTACACTGCGGGAGTACGAGCCGTCCCGCGGGCTGGGCGACTGGAAAGAGAATGCCGCCATCACATCGTTATTGCTTGCGCCATCGTCTCCGACGCGTCAGCTACTGACGGTGACCCCCGTTGCACGTGTGGCGGCACTCTCCGCCAACTGGAGGCAGCTGCGGCGTCTCGTGCTGAGGGGCTGCCGTGTCGTTTCTCGGGCCCTGCAGTCTACTCTACATCTCTTGAGCGCTCCGCACTCCAGTGCGCTGCAGCGGCTTGGCATGAGGGATAAATTCCTGGCTCACGGGGCACGTCGCCATCTCTGTGACATGCTGAATGCGGGACGCACGTCGTTGGTGGAGCTGAACGTTGCGTTCAACCGCCTGTAGGCCTCTGGCATCGACGCTCTCGCGGAGGCTGTGTGCGCGGCGCTTTAGCAGCAGTCGCTGGACGTCTCCTGCAGCCGAGGGCTGCTGCCGCCATCGGGCATCGCCCGCCTGATCCACCGTAACGAGACGCTCAGCGTGGTGGGCCTTTCGGCTGACGTGCTTCGCGGTGACGAGTCTGTGCGTGGACACGCTGCGTCTGCTTTCGGGCGCCGGTAGGTTGGACTCCGTGGAGTTGCAGCAACACCTCTTGGGTGCAGTCCTTCCTTTACGCCATCCACTGTCCACCTACTGGCGGTTGCGTTGTACGGTGACGGTGCTGTGTTCAGATTGGTACGCCCCGGCGCGGCACTCCCTAAACCTTCTTGGCTCCTTTTCCCCACCTCCCCTGTCTTTCTCCCTATCTTTCTCCCTGTCTTTCTCGCAGTTTTCCTTGGTGATTCTTCCCCCACGAATCTAGTCAGAGAAGGGGGCGTATGCTACGTGGCGACGGGGGTTTGAGTGAGTGTTCCGGGAGCGACTGCGCGCCGAGCAGCCGGGCGTCGAGCGTGGGCGACGTGCCGCTGCCACCGCTCCCGCCACCGACACCGCCGCCAGACGTGGACGGAATGGCCGCGGATGGGATCTACAGCATCATCAAGGAGCTGCGGCGACAGATTGAGGACCCGGCGACTCAGCAGGACATCAGGGCGATGCTGAAGAGGGATCCCTCTGTCCTGCGCGCTGTTGCCCGCGTGCTGCACGAGTCGTCGCTGCTGCGGCGAGCAGTGGTGAGTGCGAACGGGCAGGTGGGCGAGCAGGTGGTGCCCCTGCCCGAGGCCCCACCCCCGCCCTTGCCGTCGGGGTGCCATGGCTGGGCTTGAGCGCTGTGCCTCCATGCCCGTGCCCGCAGCTCTCCTCTGGCTCCTACTGGACGCTCACACACAGCCGCGAATGCGTACCCATTTTCCATTGCTGTTCCCCCTTGTTCTTTTTCGTTTTAGTGCAGAGTGAACTGCACAGCAGGAGTGTGGCCGCATGACATTGCTCGAACGGGCACGCACACTGACGGCTGTGCGTTGATGTCTCGCGGCAGGTGCTGCAGGCGGGCACGGAGCGTATGGGGCGCAGCGATCGTTGTCGCGGTGGCGGGCTGTCTGTCGACTACGGGGTGATGTCTCCCTCGCTTGTTGAGGCGGTAGGGGTGGCACGTGCTGCACCGTCCTCTCTGGTGTGTTTTGCGGCAACGGGCTGACTGTGCACCTGTTTCTGCTGGCTTCAGTACTTCTTCGGCACCCGCACCTCTGCTGTGAGGCCGGCACTGCTGACGGTGGATGTGCCCCTCGTCCGCCTCGTTGTGCTCGGGCAGTGCGGTGCGTGCTCTGCGGCGACTCTTATGCCAATGGCGGACTGTGACGCCGGGCCGCTGGCGACACCGTCGACGGGTCAGTGCGGTGCGGTGTGCCTCCGGCGTATGTGCTCCCCCAGGACGTCGACCTCACCGGCCGCATATTGGCGCTGAGTGCTGCGACGGAGCTGGAGGAGCTGCTGGACGGC